CATTGGATGGAGTCCCAGTGACCACTGAGTGCAATAATTTAAAAACCATCATTCTCAATCAGCCATCAGAAAATTTCTACAGCTACTGTTGTGAAACAGCACACAGCATTTGTCCGCTCGTTTATCACAGTTGACAAGGTGGTTGGTTGAATGAGCTTAGGTATGCATTACACATAGATAACGTACTTGTAATATAGTTTTAGTATACACAAACAGCAGCAACATACACTTTGAGTTATAAGGATTTATTTCTTCCAATAAATTGCTATTCTGCTTTCTTGATGTATTCAGAACATGCATGCAAAGGGAGTGATTCAGGCACGGGAAAAAGTTAGATGCTAAAACAGGTACTGAAAGAAAAAGCTCAGTACAAATCCTTTGTTGTTTTCACTTAAAGGCAAATAAAAGGATTTTCATCCAAGCTCAATGAGTGGGACACTTAATTTTTAATTGGATCTATTTGTTTAATATTAAACACGGATATATAATTTGGCTTTTCATTTTTCTGTGTTGTTGCTCTCAGTACAAACCAGGAGACCAAATTATTGGGCCTTGCCTAGATCATGTCTTGCAGATAACTAGAAAAGCAGATAGGAAAGATAAATGATTTTGAATAAATTCAAAGAAAGAAAAAAAGAGACATATTTACAGCTGCATCTATGTAGCCTGACGCATCCATACATTTCTCTTGTCATTAAATAGTAGCATGGCTGGCTAGCAATTGTATAAATTATTATTTAAATAGTTGCATTAAGCAAATTCCATTTCAAACTTCAACTTGACAGAGGGTATGTACTGTTGTTTGGAGTTAGTATCCATTCCCGAAGATTGTGATCACACATCTATGACCAGCTAGCTATGCTAAGTTATTTAAAACTTTGTGCACTTCAAGGAGAATGTATAATATACAGGGTATCCCATTAAAAAGTAATGTAGTACTGCCATTGATTTTAAATTTAGAAATATACTCTGATTCTGGCACATGGATTAGCCTGATTTTTCTCTGTTCTTGCATGTATATATGAGGATTGATGGTTCATTTAGCATATCCTCCCAAATTAAGTGAGTCAGGATCAAAAACAAGAAGCATTTCTGATGTTTGTACCAGCTAAAGAGCAACAGGAGCCTCAGAAGTAGAAACTAGGATATTAATTTGGAGGCCAGAAGTAAGATGCATGTTTCTCTCTTTCAGATACTATCAGGCCCAAGCCCAAAGATGTCAGAACAAAATGCAATCCTTTATTTGCTTACCCCCAATGGATAGAATCTTACCAAACTAAAGCTATAACCCTGGCAGATATGTTCTGGGAGAATATGGCTACCCTGAACTTCTTCCTCTCTTCCTCATCCAGTTCGGGACTGTGCAGTCTGTTAATTTGGGCTTCTATCTGTAATGTGCTATCTCCTCCCTGAGAACACTCTGTGTTGCCAAGATTCCCCTCCAGCCTCTCCAGGTGCAATTCCATCACAGATACAATGGCTCTACTCACAGAACACATTTAACTAGTTTAGTTACCATAGTTTTATTTTCAAAGTATGCCAAATTGGACCCAGTCAGAAAACAGGCTAAATCTGTAGCCTGATGCTACATAAATACAGCAGATGTTTGAATCCTGAGTTTATTTTGTCTATGCCCCTGGTGGAGACTGACTCTGAGCAGTCAGAGGAGGACCCAGGCCCATCCCCTATCCATCCTAGGTCACGCAAGGAGGAGAGGTTCAGGGTAAAATGTGGTCTACTTGGGCGGAGAGGGCCATGATCCTCTTCATGGGTTGCAGGTGTGAGATCTGCATAAGAGTTTGGACCTGTGTGCTAACAGACGCTGGAGACAATTGTTCCATACTAGCAGGCTTGAAGACCTGCATTCCTATTGGTCCGGAAAAGCCAGGCCGTGATTGGACGTTGTTGAACACTCCTGATTGGCTCATATAGGGTTTGCCGCGATTGGATAAAACCAAGCGTGGCAAGCTCAAAAACCTGTCATTGGCTGCCTAGCCGCGGACAGCTCTATAAAAAGAGCAGCCGCGGCTAGGGTTTTGTGTCTCAGAATCTGGTTGTTAAATAAAGAGCTGTTGTTCACTACTCAAGCCTCGCCTCTCTATGGGACCCACCGACCATACTTAACAACAATATTAATATTTTATTCCTAAAAATGGTTTATCTTGGTTGGCATTCTTCCAATGGACTGTACCTGGTTATCTTCCTGAAGTTGGCAATTATCTATCCTGGTCTGTCGTGAAACTTTATTCAGTGTGGTTTGTTTTTGATTTTTGCTTCGTTATTGGCTCTGTTAAGCCTGGATTCCCCAACAGGTGTTAAGGAAAACAAACTAAACAGAACGTGCAGTGAAGTCAGATAGGAAGACAGGTAAATGTGTGAGATAAGTTTTCTAGT